ATTGTATGTAATGCTAAGTAGGAAAATTCATAAAAATATAAAGAAATAGCACAAATGTAAGTATGTAATGAATTTCATGCAATTAGTTCCCTTTATGAATTTAAATAAAGCAAGAACAAATATTGATGCGGAATAGTATGAATTCATAATATTTCGAAGTTTCTTGTCAGCTGCTTACAACTAAATGTGTAATAGAATTTTACATTGAGATAAGAAATAGTGTGAAACAATTGACATAAATGAATGTAAATGACTGGAATGGCAAAGGTTTACAATAATAACTATATACATATATAAATGTAAGAACAGGTCAGAGGTTAATTAGAGTTAGAATTAAGGAAACAATTCAGGATGGGTGGTGTAGTAATTGAGTGGAGTTCATAAATTGTGTGATAATTTTAGAGGTAGTGAAGGATTTATGGAATTAAACAGTGATAAGATAGGTTACGTAATAATTGAATAGAGTTTGAAAAGTTAACATAATTTAAGAGGGTAAGTGGGCAGAAATGTGTAAATGAAACGTTAGTTTAAGAATTCGGTAATGGGGGAGGAATATAACACAAAATAAACATTTTAAAAATAAATTAATAAACAAAATAACACGAATAACCAAAAAAACAATAAAAATAAGATAAAAATGGATTACCAGGGTAATAATGAGTTTACTACTGCCTGCTTTTGAATACATAAATCCGGATTAAGTTTCCTTTATCGAGATCGCTTCAGCAAAACGGAGAGCAGTCGTATTTCTTTGTCTACTGATAATTTTAAAAGCGTGCGGAATGTCGATGGCATGCCCGGTGTCAAGTAAATGCCGAGCTATTGCATTGTTGAGAACCCTAGTCCCTCGCAGCCTCAATTTCTTTGAAACATGCTCAGAAATGCGAAACATGTACTCTTCTCTCAGTTCTTCCAATGTATGTACTATGGCACGTACATGTGAATGGGTGAATGCAGTTGGAGCTACTAAGAAAAGAGGACTTGTCGATTTCACTTTGTTTTAGTGAGCACTTCGTTTCCCATAACGTCGTCAGTTTAGGTGCTGAATAGGTCACCTTCAACGCGGAATTTATTTTGTGATTGATTATTCCGTTGAGTTCATCTCCTTTGAAGCACAAATATAAGAAGCAGGTTTTCTTTTTCAGTGTATCATGCTTAACCGGAGGGTTAATATTTACATATTTATGGATGAATGTCTCCGGATATGCATTTTTACGTAGGCGATTAGTGATTACAGCAATTTCTTCTTCAAGGCATTCCTTTGAGCAGATTTTACGTGCATGGTCGAAAGGTTTCGTACAATGCAGTTTATGTAACTCATAGGACAGAAGCTGTTATAATTGAGAAACCTCGAAATATTATGAATTCATACTATTCTGCACCAATATTTGTTCTTGTTTTACTTAAATATAATGAATTGTTTGTTATTAACTAAGGACAAATTTATATAATCCGAATAAATTAGATTCATTATTTCATTAATGAAATTCAATATAATAAATAAATAAATAAATGAGTACAGAAAAGCTGAACTTCTTTTTATATTTAGATTGTTAGTTCTAGTACAAGAAATAAAAATAAACCCAATTTATCTTTAATTTCCAAACTAAACAGAAACAATGAAATTTCGTTTTCTTTTTGTTTATCCCAGCCAAAAATCAACAAACTACTTAATTATACTTGACATAAGTTTTCGTTAGCAAATGAACTTTGCAAATACAAAACGAATTTATATATATATATATATATATATATATATATATATATATATATATATATATATCTTGATTAAAACAACACTTAAGTATATTATGTACGTTTGTGAATGCTTATTGATGCGAAGTTTCGAAGGAGGTTGGAACATCGATGTGGTACATCCTAGTTTCTTGTGATTCTTGAACTAATGTAAACTCTATATGAAAACTGTTTACAGATTAATCTAAACGTCCAGTTGGATGATATTCTGAATAGTAATAAATTTTAGAAAGTTCCATGAGTAAAGGGCACATTATTAGTTGATTAATCAAGTTAGAAGAGAGAGAGAATATATTAAGGTGCAATCTAACTTAATCGCAAGGTGACTATAAGTTAAAATGTGAAATATTTTCCCCAGACTAAGTAGTGTAATACTGATACCATTGCATTAAGATCTGAATGTTCAACAATTCATCGCGCATATAATTATAAGCACGTTTTTCTAACTAAGTCTAGAATGAAGCATAAATAATGAAGATCTTAATCGTTTTATCAGAAGAATCAAATGGATGCTTACCCTCCGTATAGACCAAATACTAAATATTATAGAAACGAACTATTTTCGACAATTACTGACCTCTATTTCGTTTTTTTATTACTTGTTGGTTTTCTTAAAACGTTTTTAAAGATGTTTCTGTATTATATTCGACTTGGAATACAAAACTATTAGTTTAAGTGGTATTCATGTATGTATATGCGCTTCATAAGAGGTAAGCTAATCAGTTAACTGTATTAAACCAGCAACTATGATGAAGCAAGTCAAACTTTTAACCACTTATTAACTTAAATGAAGAAAACTGTTATAACTTATTTGTATGATAAATACAGCAAGTTATGTTGTACTGAAGTACCACTGGTAACACTAGAGATAAGGTGACAAACATCAGCGTTATTAAATTTAGTTCTAGAGTACTATTGGTAATGACTAGTAAGCAATTTAGCGATTAGATGTCTAAAGTCCTTAGGTTCAAATCAGTAGGTTGAAGTGTCAAGCCAAACGTTCCTTATTTTGGTTTTGACAATAAAGTAATATTATTAGCTCTTATACATAAATTAAATCTCAGCACCGTATACATAAGTTTGTACTTGATAATTTAATTAAGTACTCACAAGTAATAATATTATCATGAATTAATTGATTTTCGTGACATTTAATGCCCCCAAATGCCCTGGCACGGCCGAGAGTGGGGATAGTTATCTCTCCCTCTCAAATGCTCTTACATAGCCACGTGCATACAACCACTGACAGGGAAGTCCTACTCACTGCCTTCTCGCGACATTACTGCTGTTTACTGAATTGAGAGAACGAAAAGCGAATTTTCGGCGCTTCAACCGGGTTGGTGGATATAAAGGGTCCACCTAGGTGAGTTGGAAAACTCTTATTCCAAACCAATGGTGTATATGGGCTGGCTCCAGTATCCTGAAGGAACAAATGGCGTATGAACCAATCGTTGGTCACCGCCTACCATGGAACTGCATCTCCTTAAGTTGTTCCACTGCCTTGTGGATCAGACATTTAGGCCAAATGGTCCGGTTGTGGCCCCTTAAGAAAATCTCCTGCTTCGGTCTGGGCACACGGGCAGTATCATAGCACATACACAAATCAAGTGACTTGTGTGGCACATATGTATTCCGTGCCTCTTTGTACCAATGTTTATGTGTTTAAACAAGTAATAAATAAATAATACAACGAAGATTTGAAAGTTATCTACAATTATTTTTTTTTAAACCGATATATCATGGACTTTCATACCGTATACACGAATTCTTCCATTTTTCTGAATACAAAATATGCGCTAATCTGCTATAATGTTTTATTGGCATTCAATTTTTTGATTAGCTTACATAATTTATTAAACAGGGCTATTTGTTAGCTCATTATATATATAACATTAGTTTATGCATTAATTATGCTAATATATAATTAAACTAATATTTGAAGAGTGTTTGTCAAGCTATAGTATATGTTTTAACGCACAATTCTGATAAAAAAATCTTTTGTTAAAAGGTTAGATAGGCTGAAAGTGAAACATTAGTTAATATGAACTATGTAAAATATCATTGTTTAAATCGATAAACTGTATTACACTAAACCATTGTTAACTGTTACGTTGGAATGTAAGCTAATATGCAAGCTCATAAAATGATTTTATAATATACTGTTAAAGGTTAAAAGACAATGCAGCGATACTTATTTTGGACATGATAGAAATGTTAGAAGTAGAGTAAAATAATTCTGTGGAGAAGAGAAGGATTAATACGTTACCCTACTGTTTATTAACATAAATATCTAAGATAAGAGATTAAACTTTGAATGTATAGCCAAAGTAGTCATGATTAAATAGGCCATTAATATTATTATGTATTTATGCTAATTAGGCGAGACTCTAATTTATGGACGAGCCAATCAGAGGCGTTTTAGTGATTTCAAGGTCACGGCACCAAATTCAGTGCTGAATGCTAACGTACGATCGGTTCACAGAGAATTTTGTACAAAACAAGATAATTGAGCGACTATAACAAATAAAAAGGCGAGACTATAATTTATGGACGAATCAATCAGGTATAAGATAATAGATCTCGGACTTTAACGTTAAAGCCTTTTATCCATTTGGCCAAATAAATTTCTGGCATTATAGCTGATGTCAGCTCGTGATGAAAACCCTATAAATAATTTCTAACTAAGACAAATTACGACAATTATTGCAAACTGGATAATAAAAGCACCAGTAACACTGGCTGCAGCCAGGTACTACAATATATACGGATGTTTGGAGAGTGTACAAACTCCTACATATGTTTGGTTATGTGCATCGTGTCGTTATCCACTAGTAGCATTTTGTGTGCTCAACAACCGGGGTGCACACAGAAAATATTGAAGCTATGTGATAGAGGCTGAAAGAGTTTTTGAGACTTTATCATGGCTCCAGAGGCCGACTATTCTGTAGCCGTATGAATGATTTCCTCTCCTGCATGCTTTACGATTTTACAACCTTGGAGCCTCTTTCTAACCTTGACAAGTTTTTTTAACCATGTATAAGAAGTGTATCCACTTTATCTCCTTGGTTTCGCACAACATCTTTTTACTCTATACTGAATGTTTGCTGATTGGCTAATATTTCTCAAGGTCACTTGAGATTCGTTCAAAGGTCGTCCATAAATTAGAGTCTCTCCGCTAATTAGTTTGGAAATTTATGACAGTTAGTAGATGTTAAAAATAATACAATTTTAATTTATTGATTTACCTATCGGCTATACTTCCTTGTCTGATATTATCAATGAAAAATGCATTTTGACCAGTTTTCACTTCATGACATGGTGCTAAACTAATTCCTAAATCTTCATTGGCTGGTTTTTCAATTTCAACTACAACTGCACCAGATATACGACGATCCTCTTCTGAAATGTAAAAAAGTTATAAGCAAATATTAATCAACTACAGTTAGTTAGTTATTATAGAAAATAGTAATTTAATAATAACCAAATATAATAGAAATATTATTGAAGTGATTTTATAAAATAAATTTGTATCATCATAGGTTTTGTTCTTGTGAACTAAAATATCTGTCAGAGAATATTTGTTAGTTAAGAACCAGTAGATCACTGGATTTTAATTCAATGGCTAGTTAGAGTCACGATCACTAAAACTGGTAGACGTTTTTCGTTTAGTCTTAACTTGATCAATTCTTGTAGGTGTTTAGCAGATAACACCAATAATCATCCAGTCATGATTAAAATAACCATACTCTAGTTTTAAGAATGATATTTTACAAAAAATAACATCTGTACTTCTCCGCACTACATTATTGAGATGGTGAAGAAGATTTGTAGCTCAGGTGGATGATTTTGGTGGAGTTTTGTACACGACCAAACCATCCAGCTCAGAGAGCACTACATTATCTTTCCTTGTATTTATATTTCAGTAGGAAAGCAAACAAAATATTTATACAGATCGATAAGGAATAAATTTTCTACATAATTTTCACCATTTAATCTTTGATTTATTGTCAAATATAGTATATATATACTTCTAAGATGCAACTTAAAACAGCTGGTGGTGAAATGTGGCAACTCAATCATTTAAACAAATATGACATATTGTTTCGTTCATTCGTTCTAATATATATATACCTCAGTATAACTGACCTTACACTCTTCCTGTTAGTAAGAATAATGGTAATGTTAAGTAAAATAGTACATGTTTTTATGAATTTGTAAAAGAGATGAACAATGATGCAAAATTGGAATGTATCAGAATAAGAATAGTAATTTTAACAGTTGTATTCGTGAGTCAGTCTATGAGGAGTCCCATACTAGGACGAAACGACCGTCTAGTGCCTCCAGTTTCTTAATGTTGGTTTAATTTAGAGTGACTCATGAATTCAACTATTAAAATTGAAATGTAATGGTTATATAAATTAAATATTATCTACTGTGCTTGTTATTAATCTCTAGAAATTTAAAAAGTACCATGTTAATGTTGCATGCAAAAATATAATACAATGCACTTTTAACTGATTATTTTTTGTTCACATACATTGAGTCTTATTTCATAAATGATTAGATTGTAAATACGTTTTTTCTTCTATTAGATAACAGTTTTCCAGTTTAGTCAATCATGAAGATATATTCGACTATTTAATACATTATAAAATTAAATACGTTTTCAGTATGAACTGATATCTCTTACAGTAAATAAGTTTTAAAGTATAGATTTAAACAATTCTGAATATATCAAGAGGAGTTTTGTGGATATGATAGTAATTTCAATAGTTGAGGTCATAAGTCAATTGAAAGTAGACCACTATGGAAAACCTGGAAACACTGAACGGCTGTTTTGTCCTAGTGTATAACTCCTCAGAGGTGCGAATCCACTATTCCACCTCATGAGATTCTAAAAATACTAACTCAGTCAACAGTATAAAACTATATGGTCTTATTTAAATGATTAAAATACTTTTATACATTATATTGGTGTAATAATACTGAAAATTTACCGAATTCGTTTGAAGCACTTTATATATATTTATAATAGTTTCATTCACAAGCTAACATCAATTGAGTAATGATAAAGCAGTGAGAAATATCTGAAAGACATTCTTATCTATATTTTTTAAAAGAATTATCAGTAATATGCATTAGTGACACTAGAAATGGCTAACATCAAGGTATTACAATCTCACAGAGTGAATGATTTCATTAAAGTACTATATTGGAATTTAATCGATAACAATATTCAACTTTCATCAATTTATTGATTGAATATGGTTGCTATGAAATTTTATTTAAGTTGATCCAATAAACTATGATCCAGTTATTCATCGATATCATTTTGAATTCAATTAATAGATATGAATAATGTTTATAATCCATTATCATTAAAATGTAAATATTCATGCAGCAATGAGTAAGTTTTATCTAAAATCATATTATACTACTTTTAAAAATAAACTTTTACAAATCAAAATGTTATTTTCTAATATAAATTAATACCATTTTACCCCAGTTTTATTCTTGTTACTACCTAACAACACAAACTTATTCGTAACCATCCTTTTAAAAATAATAATTATTATTATTATTATTTATTAAGATATAAATCACTTCGTTAAATATTATTGATTAGTGTAATATTTGATTCATTTTATCACTAAAAAATATTGAATTTGATAGAAAAATCTTTTTTTAATAAAAAACATTTTGTTTTTAGATATCGATTTTTTTTTTCATAGTTTCTAGGTAATTTATTCTTAGTAAAACTTTTTTTTTAAAAAAAACAACCAAATAATTAATTGTATTAAATTAAATTCTGATATAATAACTTAAATCAAATATATATAATTCTTGATTATTTCTTTTTACTTTATTCATATTATATTTTCTTAGAATGAATAAGGTTGGTTTAATAAAATTGATATTTTCTTCAATTATTACTGATGATGGAACTTGTTTCTTCTTTTTTTCGTATGCGCGTTTTCTCCTAATCTGATTAATTATTCATAGAATAAATGAACAGTTGTTTCTTTCTTTATCTCTCTCTCTCGCTCGCTCGCTCGCTCACTCGCTTTCTATCCCTCTTTTTCTCTATCTCTCTTCCTCTCTGTTTTTTCCCTTAATAGATCGTATTAGAAAAATGAATAATAGAAGAAGGAATGAATGAGTTCTATCAAGAAATATAAAAAAAGACACAACAGAATCTGATTAATTTTTATGAGGTTAATTTCTTTTTCGTATCTAGTTAAAGAATGAAGTGACCGTTGCCTTAAGGCTACGACTATCGTGTATATATAAGATGGAAATTTTCAAACGTTATTCACTACAATGTCATAAAATAAATCAACAACTTAAGATTTACTTCTAACTTAGACGGTCCCTGAGCATTAATGGGCTAAGCACTAATAGTAAAGTTTCTAAAAAGAACGTTCTGTTGAAAGAGTTGAAAATTCTCCTCTTCAGGATGTCTGTAGTTATATCAATTTGAAAATCAACGGTCATATAAAAATTTTTTGGTATGGAATTCAGAAACAAACTAAGTATTCACTTTCTTGATGTAAAAAAGACAATGAAACTCCAGGAAAATCTATCTACAGGAAACTCTTGTGGTTATCATTAGTCGAAATCAAAATTTAGTTATATCCCTCACTACATTAGTACGAAGAATTTGTAATTAAGAGGTAATAGATAATGAACTGAACCTTCTAAATACAATACTTATCGTTATTTACTAAAAAGAACATCAAACTCAAGGCTAAAGCACGAATAGCCTCTATATATGAACATCGATTTTAAAGATGGTATAGTTACAGACATCCTCAAGAACAGGATTTCCGACTCTCTCAAAAGAACGTTCTTTGCAGTAACTTTGTGATTGGTGTTCTTCAACCGATCAATGTTCAGCAATAATCTTAAGTACAAATTATCTCATTTGACCAATTTCATGTGCATTTGTCAATTCACTTGTTCATGTGGAGCAAGGTATATAAGTCGTTCAATGCTGACTGAAAGGAGCTCTGTAACTGAACAACTTGTAGATACAGGTCATTCAATTAAAATGGACTGCGTTCAAAGTCATCTAAAAGACAAGTAGAAACCTGCCAAAGACAGTTAGCCTACGTCTTTTATCATTCCCAAAGCATTTGTTATATATTTTGGGAAACCAGGATTGTGTGAACAAAAAAACTTTTACTACCTCTACTTCTACTATGATCATAATCTCTGGTAATTTCTTTTCCTTTTCCATAGCCATCTCCTTCCCTCCTATTTTCTTCTCCATGGACCTTTTACCCTCAACTGATTTATTTCTATTTCTAAGATCCTTTTGATTACCGTTCATCTTAATGTCAACGTTTTATCTTGTCACGCTGAGCATCTGAAATGACCAAATGTACTAGCAAATTAGCAATATATTTTATAACTAGGAGACATGATCCTTTCAACTGATATATTCCCTTCATCAAAACTTTGTATAGATGATAATCTCATGAAAAATCTCACTAAGCTAAGTTTCATTCTTTTTTACTATGATGAAAGTTAATATTCTCTTTATAGAAAAAAAATTTGACTGCAACACATCAAAATACTTTCATCTGATATAAAAATACATACTACTCAAATCATAAATTATCCTAAATATGTTTTATAATTAACATCATTACTGAAAACTGTAGTTATATTATGTTGATTATTTGAAGTAGATCTTTACTTGATATATTTTATACTAGTGTATTTTACAAATTTATTATAGCAAGAACAATAAACATATCATTGCACTAATTTAAATGTATGTAAGCATCATAGCAATACAGTTACATATCAAATCAATGTATATATTCTAACTGTTTTTACTATCTTTTATTCTATCGGTAAAACTACGAGGAAATATCTAACTATTCTTGAATCAATAACGAAAAAGATTGCATTCAGGTAAGTGAGTATAGTTTACACTGAAGAAACATAAAAATAATAATTTCAATAGTTGAGATCATGAGTCAGTTGAAGCTAGATCACCATGGAAAACCTAGAAGCACTGGACGACCGTTTCGCCCTATTATGGGACTCCTCAGCACTGCGCCTCCACGACCTCGCCTCCTGCGAGATTCGAACCCAGGACCTATAAGTATGCTAAGGAGTCCCACAATAGAACGAAACGGTCGTTCAGTGCTTCCAGGCTTTCCATGGTGGTCTAGCTTCAATTGACTCATGATCTCAACTGTTAAAAATATAATAAAAACTTGGGAAACTTTGACAATAATGTACATAACTATCTTAATCCCCTTCCGTTTCCATTTCATTCCTTTTTTTATATTCACAAACAAATTTCAGACAAACTTCAAACGAATAGAAATAAGATGAAGAATATATAAAAACAAGTGAACAAACTCTTTTTGACATTTCTGTCT